TAGCAGCCCAGGTGAGACAGACAGCCATGTTTCGGATGGCACCAAATTTCATATCAGAGTATCTACCATGCCCACTGACTAGTGGGTAACAAAGAACATTTTGTCATCTAGGAGCCCATCTTCTGTGGGACAGGGAAAGAGTCAACCAAGATATAGGTACAAGTAAAGTAGCTCACACTGGCAAAGACTTCCAAAAAAGAATGAACACTGGAGCAGACTTGAAAAATGAATGTGAGTTCCATAAAACGACAGAGGTTTATAAAGTAAAGGACCAGGATGCACAAAGCCATACGGATGTAAAACAAAACAAAACAAAACAAAAAACAATCGAGTTGACCCTGAGAGCCCAGGGCAGAGTTTCTCATCTTACGAATTTAGGGCCCCTTCACCATAATGGGATATGGGATTGGTCTAGACAGTGATGAAGTTCACCTTTTCTTTTTTTTTTTTTTTAATTTAAGAAATCACTAATGGAACTTTACCATAGTACTTTGTAGGAGGCACTTAATAGTGGTAATTATGTATTTCTGGAATAGATAAATTCACAACTATTGTTAAATTAAAGCTAGTTTGGGGGGGGGTGGGCATTTGGCCTAGCACTTAAGACCCCAGTTAAGATGCCTGTATCCTCTGTTTATTGCCTAGTTCTAGCTCTGGGCTCCAGTTTCCTACTAAGGCAGGCTCTGGGAGGCAGCAGTGAAGTCCCAGGTCACTGAATTCCTAACATCCACATAGAAAAACTGCATTCTATTTCCAAACCCTGGCTCCAGTTCTAGCCCACATCCAGCTGTTGTGGGATCTGGGAACTGAACCAGCCTATGGGAGCTCGACGTTTCTGTCTCATCTCCGCTTTTCTTTCCTCTCCCTTCCTTTGGCTCTTAAAATAAAATATCTTAATACTTTATGCACACAAGGAATAAGAGAATAAATGCACATTCATACAGTGCTTAGGAGAAGAAAGGAGATTATAAAAGAAGGAAAGAATGGTTAGTGAAATTCCTGTGACTCCACAAACTCAAATAGTAGGGGAAGCACTTCCAATTGAGGTGTGGAAGGCAAAAACTGAGCAAGAATGACACAGCCCATAAATCACTCATTAAAAATGTATGACCAAACTGTTTTTTTTAAAGCCTATCTGTAAGTAAGGAGAAAAATTAAGTGTTTGCCATAGCTCAAATCATTTCAGCCAGGGAACAGAGAATTTAATAGTTTATCTCTGCTCTTCCTTCCCCCTCTCTGAGCCATGAGTTTTAAGGAATCATTTAAATTAATTTCAAAACGTTTTTGCAGACATTACCAAACTCTATCCACACCAATGAATTCCAATGACATCACTGTTTCCATGGTAACTAATGTACTTCAAAAAGGGGAAAAACAGAAATCAAGACTGGAAACCACGGATAATGTGGTAGAAACAAAGCGTAACATCTCCTTTCCACTTATGAAATACTCTCTAATTCACAATCTTTACTATTATTTGCTTAGACTCCTAGAGTCTTAAGACCTGGAAGGAGATCTCAGAAGTCAACAAATCCATTTCTCACCTACAGCTAGGATTTCCTTTACAATATGGGGATAGCATGGTAGTCCAACAGCTTCCACAGTTCATTGCTAGAAAGTTCTCACTGACTCATTTGTAAACATTGCCAAATATGCTGTTCTGCAGGTTTAAGGGATGATTAAGATATTCTCTTTTTAAAATGTTGGCAATTCAGAAGGTAAATAATTAAAACATACAAGAGTGAAAAAAATGAGATATAAACAAGAATCTATGAAGATGTACAAAATGTCAAAGAGAGAGAAACTGAATTGTGAGTTGGAAGAACACAGATCCAATGACTTACTTCTATTTCCCCTCCACCCCTCACATCCATGATCACATACTGCACTGTCATGACCCTTAACCACTCCAGCTCAGCAACACTAAATTCCAGCATTAACTTTATGAGCCCAAACAGTTTTCACTGCCTAACTCCTCAAGTGCCCCTAAGAGCTTACACAGTTCACCATCCTTCACTTGGAGTTATCTACCCTTGCCCACACCCTGGACCTTTATCCCTCAGTGGCAACAGCCCAACCTGGATACAGTACCCATCCCTCAGGTGTATGCCAGGGGACTATCTGCCCCACCTTTTGTCTTAGAGTCCACAGAAACATCTATCAGACAGCATCACACTGTTAGCCTTTTTGTTTACACAAAAGTAAATGTAAAGGGCTGCAGGCAAGTGAGAATAAGTAAGATCTGAAAGGTATATATATGTGGAAATTGGTAAGCATGTTTATTTGATTCCCATCGATCAAAGTCCACACAGGACTTGCTGCACAGTCATAGTTACCGCAAATGACAGTATGAATTGAGATGACCTGCTGCTATTCAAAATGATCATTCATGGAGGAATAAGAAAAAGCCCAATTCCTCTACTTTAAATATACCCTCTCCTCACAGAGTGAGAAATTACATACTCACAGGAAGACAGAACGGATATTATCCTGACTTTGAGTTGTCTCAACAGACCATTGGCCCTGTTATTTAATTTCTGCCAGAGAGAAGGATTACAGATCATTTTTAAACTCAATGTCATAATTTTTGGTGGACAGCCCACTCTCTTTTTCTTAATTTATGCCTTAATGCCATGTAACAAGTGTTCTTATTTAGTTACCTGGATAGGTATCATTTGTATCTAGTTTATCTAGGAGGACACAACGATGAGTTACCACATTACTCAAATCAAGTGCTTCAAAGACACAGTTTCCTGCCTGCAGTGGCCATTTATTTAGTCACTATTGCTTAAAAATTTTTCCATGTTGGGGCTGACATATGGTGCAGCAGGTAAAATCACTGCCTATGGGACCAGCACTGTAGCTGTGTTGTGTCATTAATGAGTGGGGCCACCATCTGCGGTGCCACTTCAGAGACAGCTCTCTGATAATGCACCTGGGAAGGCAACAGAAAAAGGGCTAAGTCCTTGGGCTCCTGCACCCATGTGGGAGACCCTACTTGGCCATTGCAGCCATTTGGAGAGTGAAACGGTAGGTGAAACAGCATTCACTCTAAATAAATAAATAAATATTTTCCTTTTAAAAAGCACCATCTGGGACACCAGAATCCCATATGGGCACTGTTTTGTGTCCTGGCTGCTCTGTTTCCGAAGGCCCAAGTGCTTGTGCCCCTGAATGTGGGAGATCTGGAAGAAGTTCCTGGCTCCTGGTTTTAGCCTGGACAAGCCATCTCGGAAGTGAGTCAGTGGATGGAAGATATCTCTTGTTCTCCCTCTCTGTCTTCCTCCTCCCTCCCTCTGACTTGCAAATGTTAAATGGATCTATAACAATTTCTTTCCAAGCTATAATTTACAGCATCAAAAACCAGCTCCAAACTGCATGCTGACTCAATTTCTTGTTTACTGATACAGGCACCTTCAGATCAGCAGGAAGGTCAGTATTCAGGTATTAAGCATCCGGGTGTGTTTCCAATGGTGCTTCCTCAGTTCTCACACAAATACACAGAGCTGCACATCTGTCAGCAGACACAGCCACACAGTGCTGTCTGTACTGAGTGGTAAGAGAGATGAGTCACTTGTCTGGGAAACCTCAGCCCCACTAAGCACGCAGTTTGACGTTTTTTCAGAAGCTCCCCTGAAAATCTGCGCTAACACATTGCTGGATCTTATCCTGTGTTCTGTCTCATTAAATAGTTTGATAAAGGCTGTGAATTCTTTCCTTGTCAAAACAAGAATATATTTGAGCATACAATTTGTGATGGGAAAAAACCCTGAGACCCCTGAAGCTAATTCACAGACTGATGTTTAAAAAGCTTGCCTCTGCAGGAGCTCAAATCGATCTTCAAAACAGGCAAGGCCACTGGAGAGTCACCTGACAGGAAACCACACCTTGGCTGTATTTACCTTTGTTAAGGCCTGCAGGGAAGAAGGGCCTTCTCTCTACTATGAAGAAGGTGATGGGCCTGGGTTCATTTTATAGCTTCTCTCTGAGAAACTAGGGAAGATATGTCTCTTTGGTCTCACTTCCCCTCGTCTTGAGCACCCAGTTCTCTTCTCAACGTGGTGGCAATGGACAGCTTTTCCTGCATAGCATTATTCCTTCCCGCAGGCTGTAATAAAAATCTTCTAGGATACTTCTCTAGCATCTGCTTCAGTTCCTTAACAGCATGTAATTTGTTTACTAACTTCACTTCTGACTCCATCTGATTTTAATTATTTGTTGTCTATTGTTGTATTTTTAACTTTCATTTTGCCATATTGTGCAGAAAATACCTTCTTGAAGAAGCACAATAAGTTAAACAGCAAGAGACAGAAGAGGTAATCTTTCTTACAGATAATCTATTCAAGTCTATGTTTCTAATTTCTTAAATGTCCTGCATTTTAAGGTTTGGTTGGCTTTGGCTTTCTTGGGGTTGGATGGGCAGGAGGGCAGGGGTGGTGGTGGTTGAGAATGGTAGTACTTCAGAAAACACATGATCATCAAGAATGTTTTGAAACACTCCTTGAGATAACATACAGACATGCTTATGCTTAAAAGTTAGTTCTTCATTGTTTTATTTGAAAGAGAGAGCTGTTATTCACTGCTTCTTGCCCCAGATCCTGACAACAGCTTGGTCTAGGTCAGGCTGAAGCCACGAACTAGGAACTGAAACTGGGTTTCCCACGTGTGGTACAGGGACTCAACTACTAGTGTCAACACATCCTACCTTTCCAGAAATTCCACCAGCACAAAGTAGGAATTGGGAGCTGATGCTAGAATTGAACTCAAGCACTGTGATAGAGAATGCAGGCATTGAACTGGTATCTTAACCAGTAGGTCACACACCAACCCTTAAGTATGTGTGGTTTTTTTTTTTTTAAATAACCATAAAAATGAACTATCAATTTTGTGAAGATTTTCTGCATGGAACTAAAGGAACACTCAGGTTGTATTTTCCCATGATCTTCTTTTCTAGTTAGAAGAGTTTCATATTGTTCAACAGTAAAGCTAGAAATGCTTACAGGCACATGAACTTTTCGAAACATCTCAGCACCCTTGCGAGCATCCATCAGTGCTACGTCCTGGGGCGTGGAGACAATCACAGCACCTGAACAAAAGACAAGCAAAACGATGTTCTAATTGATCAGTGCTTCAGGGCCAGAATTGCCATACCAATGCGCCCTTCTTGGCATATGGACAAAGAGCTAGTTAGAAAGATGTATAACGCAGGCCATACCTGAAAGTGGTTAATGGACTTCTTCAGAGGCTAAAAATCAAGGATTCTAGCTCAATGTACCAGCCATTGTAACAGGTATGAACAGGGTGTTATGTTCCAAGGGAGCAACAAAAGGCAAGCTAATGATATTCAATCTGAGAAACAGCAAGTTGAAGCATGATACATGAAGGGAGAGGGCAAAAGGTAAGTGGAAGCAACAGGACCACCTTAGAAGAAAGAGAGTTGATTCCTAAGCTGAGACCTAAATTTCTATACAGTCATTAGCCATGTAATGATGTTTTAGCCACAATGATGAGGAGAAGGCAACAGCAAAGGAACCAGCAGGGAAAGAAAAAGGAGAATCCCTAAGAAAATTCACAGCAAAAGTTGAGCAGAAGTTTTTGTAGACCTCAACAAGCTATGTTAAATGATTGGAGATGTGGGCCCCAGCACCAAAAAGTTTTCATAGAGAAGAAAGTTCATGGTATACTACTTCCAAGAAAATCTATTATGAAAACAAAGAAACCAACCAAGTAAACTGCCATGGACATACTTCTGAAATGGGTGACACCTGCTCAGAAAAGCCTCAGGAAGATTGTGCAGGTGTCTGGAAGGCATCCTTACTAAGCTGCATGTGCATTACCGCCCAGAGATGGAGACATTCCAGGGAATAAGTCATGGAGATGGACAGCAATACTGATTACCCTGACCTTGTGCAGGCCTAAGTTTATATCTCAACTTTTAACAAGGAAGTCTAAAAGGTAAAGAAAAAAATTCTAAAAATAGGGGGAAAAAGCTTATAGAATAAGGATATAAAGAAAGAAAACATTGGAGGAAGTGCTGTGCTATCTGTGTAGTAGGCTAAATCTCTGCCTTTCACGCTGCCATCAATAGCAGCACCTGTTTGTGTCCTAGCTGCTCCATTTCCAATCTAGCTCCCTGGTTATGACCAGGGAGAGCAGCAGAGGATGGCTCAAGTCCTTAAAACCCTGTACCCATGTGGGAGACCTGGAAGAAGCTCCTGGTTCCAGGCTTCAGATCAGATCAGCTCTGGCTTTAGTAGGCATTTGGGGAGTGAACCAGCAGATAGCAAACTTCTCTCCCTTCCTCTCTGTCTCTCTCTGTGTCTTTTCTTCTCTGTGTAATTCTTTCAAATAAAAATAAATCTTCAAGGAAGAAAAAAATGTTTATGTACAACAATACAATGTGTTGGTTTTAAGTTTTAATTTATTTTTACTTTATTTGAAAGAAAGAGAACAAAAAAGAGACAGACACAGAGAAATGATCTTTCATTGATGGTTCACTCCCCAGTTGACTTACAACAGGCAGGGTTGGGCCATACGTCCAAAACTCAATCCAAGTTTCCCATACGGTGATAGGATCTCAAGTTCTTGAGCCATATGGTGTTGCCTCCAAGAGTATACATTAGTAGGAAGCTAGAATTAGACATGGAATAAGAACTCAAGTTTAGCCATTCCTGATATGAGATGCAGGCATCTCAAACATGTCTTAAACCACTGCACCAAACCCCTATCTCCAATGTAAGTTATGAAGTAAGTATTATTACAAAAGAATCAAGTAAAACATTATAATCAAGCCAAGGACAACTTATTCAAAGACATTTTTTTTTACATATTTAGCATAGTAAGTGTATAGTGTACATACAGTCTACTGATGGACAGAAATGTCCTTGGCATTCACATTCACTCATCACTCACTCAATGACTTGCTCAGAGCAATTTCAAGTCTTGTAAACTCCACTCATGGTAAGTTTTTACACAGATGTGCCACTAGTTATCTTCTATACTGAAATGTTTACCTTTTCTATATAGAGGCATATTTAAATACACAAATTACTTTTATTTGTATTATAATTGCCCACAGCATTCAGTCCACTAACATGCTATAAAGGTTTGTATACCTCAGGAACAATACACTCTGTCAATGTGCTGAGATATGTGGTAGCCTACACAATGCGGGTTTAGGTAAACACATGCTATGATGGTTACACAGTAAGGAAACTACCTAATGGTCTATTTCCCATAACTTATCCCAATTGCCAAGTGACTCAGACTGCATTCTTTTAAAAAGTTATTATTATTATTTTATTGCAAAGTCAGATATACAGAGAGGAGGAGAGACAGAGAGGAAGTTCTTCTGCCTGCTGATTCACTCCTCAAGCAGCTGCTACACCCAGAGCTGAGCCGATCCGAAGCCAGGAGCCAGGAGCCTCTTTCAGATCTCCTATGTAGGTGCAGGGTCACAAGGCTTTGGGCCATCCTTACTTGCTTTCCCAGGTCACAAGCAGGGAGCTAGATGGGAAGTGGGGCCACCAGGACATGAATCGGCATCCATATGGGATCCCGGCACATGCAAGGTGAGGACTTTTAGCTGCTAGGCTACCTTGCCAGGCCCAGGACCGCATTCTTAAACAGTCAAGAGTGTAGAGGACAGTTTAGTGGGGGCAAAATTGGAGGCTGCAGCAGCAAGTCAGATGCAAGATGATGATGGCCTGAACTTAGGCAGCTGGATGCAGATGGAGCCTTTCCTGAATCTCTAATTGAGATGGAAGGCCATGGATAGTGCTTCCTTAAGTGGCTATGTTAGACAGTTAACGAACTTCTGAAATTCTGTGGTTTCTTATGGACAACAACTCAAAAACAATCAACAGAAGCACCCTATAGACTACAAAGCTGATATCCCCTTATAACTAAATACACAAAGAACCCAAGCCATTAAACTGGGTACCAAGAGGCAGTTTCTGTCTGGTTAACCAAAACAAGCAAGCTTGACAACAAATAATTAAACCAAGTTAAGTCAAATTGATAATATGGAATATTGTCTGAAGAGACATTTTGAAGAAATTAGAACAAAATAAAGCGATGGGAGAACTAAGTTATAACAACAAACCACCACACTAAACATAGCACACCAAACAAAAAGCCTCTACAACAGGAGCCAGCTATATACTTGTACTGGCATTTGCATTTCAGCGAAAACATCATCTTTCACATTAATGTTGTTAACTAATTTTATTTATTTGCTTTCCTTGATTTTAATGTTGTTTTTCTACAAGGTTATTTTCATCTGCTTCAAAAGCAGCAGAGAGAGGAAAAACTTTCCAACAGCTGATTCGCTTCCCACATGGCACAGCTTTATATCCTCTGACAATGCTTGCTCTTGTTTGGTTTACTGTTTTCTAAGATTTATTTACCTACTTCAAAGACAGAGATATAGAGAACAAGGGAGAGATGGAAAGACAGGGACAGATTTACCATCCACCTTCACCCCCCAAATAGCCATAGCCAGGAGCCTAGAATTCCATCCGGATTCTCATGTGGTTGGCAGATATCCAAGTACTTGGGCTAAGGGTTACTGCTTTCCCAATTGCCTTGCCAGGAGCTGGTCTGGAAGTGGAGCAGCCAGGATTGGAAACTTCCATGTTATAGGATGTTTGCAATTCAGGTGGTGGCTTAACTTGCTGTGCCACAATGCTGGCTACATATAAGCTTAAAGAACATATGATTATAGCTAGTTAAATAACCTTTTAATAAAAAGAAGACAGTATACAGTATGGAAGCAGGAGCTTATTCTTCCAAAATGGAGAGTTTATTTATAACCCAACTCTGAGATAAATTCACTTTAGAATATAAACAGCTAAAGATCCAAATTTGGGGCCAGCACTGTGGCACAGAGGATTAAATAGCAACATGCAAAGCCAGCACCCCCTATAAGCACCAGTTCAAGTCCTAGCAACTCCATTTCCAATTGTAATGCACCCGGGAAAGCAGCACAAACTCAATGCCCTAAGTATTACTAGGTCATCTGGTAGGTGAGAAAACTGAAATCCAGGTTAAACAACTAGTTACACAGGTAGTCAGATATAGAATAACAAATTGATACTTTTTAAAGATTGATTTTATTAATTTGAAGGCAGAGTTACAGAGAGAGAGAGGCCTTCCATCTACTGGTTTACTTCCCTAAATGGCTAGGCACACTGAAGTCAGGAGCCAGGAGCTTCCTTCAGGTCTCCCATGTACATGCAGGGGACTCAAGCACTTGGGCCATCTTCCATTATTTTCCCAAGTGCTTAGCAGTAAATGGGATCAGAAGTCTAGAAACCAGGACTCAAAACAGTACCCATATGAGATGCTGGCACCATAGGCAGCAGGTTTACCTGTTATAGTACAATACCATTGCTTTACTTTTCAAATTGTTCAATGGATCACTGTATTCTTTAATATTTTTTATTCTGCATATGAAGCCAAAAATTAGTCAACTCTTTTCCCTTAATTGAAGATGGATGAAAGTCACATCTCTTTAAAAACTATACTTTGCACAGTCAATGTATTTCATATTTAAAAGCAAAAGGTTACATCACATGTTTATCTCAAAGAGTCCTGTTTAGAGCCAATGCAGTGAATGTCATATATACTAGGACATCACTACCGAGATTTGGAGGAAACAGTTAAGGAGATTCCATGTTGAAGTGTGACAAGAATGGCTTTGAAGAACTGGTCTTCTACATTTCCTTAAATAAGGACACTGGATCAGTCAGACTGAGCAGGAATGGTTTTGGAAACCTTCGTAAAGTGACAGAGAGGCAATGCCTAATCCTATGGTCACAGGGACAGACGAGACCCTGAAGAGCATGTCTTATGCACCGGTTTTCATATTCATAGTCATTCTGAGCTATCTGAGTAAGTTGAGTCCCACAAAAGATGGGGCCAGAACTGGAATTAGAATTAGTCAACATGACTGGATACGAAAAAACAGTGAAGCAGATTAGTAAGAAAATCTAGAAAGTGGCAGATTGTGGATGACTGAGAAGCACCCCTGCCAGCAGAGCTTCTCGGGAACTGAATGCACCATGAAAACATAAATTCATATTT